TAGATCTGGCACATTGTCATATCTCCATTAGGGTTCAAAAGACTTCATGTCAGTGCTCAGAGCAATGTAACCTATAGATATCACTTGATCATTTTTCTGACATGAGACTTACAGAGTACCATCTATGGGAGTGATTTTTGAAAAACACATAAATGAATATTGGTGCATAAAAGGAAATTAGAACTCACTAGTTTAACATCTTTAAGTATGGCTGTTCTGATCCAATCATAATCAATTGTCACTCACTAAAGCCCTCCTTAATAGCCTTATTTTACTGCCCATGTGAAGTTGGGTATATTACCTAACTGCCTTATACCACAGTTTTTTCATCTCTACAGAGTTTTTGTAAGAACAAGAGAAAAAAAAATGTGAAATCAGAAAGGAATTAAACATTGTGCTAATTAAAAAACAGACATTGCTAGTGAGTGTTCTTAAAGCCTAATAGCATAAATCATGTGATTACTAAATGTTAAAACTAAAAGAACCTTAGAGATCTTCTATTAGGTCCCAGCTCTTAATGATAGACTGAGTGAGAAAATGGAGGCTCTGGAAAGCCAACCTCAAAGTTACAAATGGCAAAGCTAGTTAGAGAATTTAGAACTTCTGATCCTTTGCCTGGTTCTCTCATTAACCTGTGCAGCCCCCTTCCAAAGCCTGGTTTAAACAAAAATCAGACACAATCAGCCTTTAAACAATTATACATGTCAGTCCTTATCGTGATTGATAACCACCCAACTTAAAGTAACCCCACTCACTCCCTATCACATCTCCCTCTCTTACTTTTATCATAGCACTCATTTTTCTGCTGTCTCTCTGATCCTTTGTGAGTTAAGATCTGCCAGAGTAGCAACCTCAATCCACTACATTGCTTAAAACATCATAAGTTCTTAATAAATGCTTGTTGAATTATCATTTTAAAAGTGAATTTCAATTAGATCATTCATACTCAACAGGTTTGACTATATGACAGATACCTTTTTTGACAAATTATTAAGCCACTTGTTAGGGTGACTTGTAGGCACCGTAATAAGCCAAATCAGAGCATAAGAATTGCTCAGTCAACCAAATGTGATGAGCCTAAATCCCGTTCCCATGCTGTAATCTCCCAGTCCTGTTCTGTCTTGCTCCTCCAAGGGACATGTTGTATAAACAGCATCAAGTGTTAACTTGTTAAATCAGTTACACCCAAAAAATGTTGAGATTATTTAACAATGCAATAATATGAGGTCATATCAAGAATTCCAAGGAGAGGCAAAGTTTTCAAAGACTCCAGTTCAATGCCAGGGAGCTATTGTTTCTAAATGATTTTTGGAAAACGAAATATTAGTTCCCCAGCTAATGCATTTCATGGTAGCCCATTGTGCTTAGTTCTCTAATTTGAAATTCTTTACTTATATCCATTCCAAAAGCATCTTATTAGTCTCACACTTGAGAAGGAATGTGTAAATCAAATGCTTCTAAATTTAATTTGATTTAAATTATATTTTAACTACTGTAACCCCTCTGTGGGGAGAAGACTAAAAACACATTTTTGCCAATTGTCTTTGTTCTGAACAAATATTGGTTCTATTTGTCACCATTGGAAATGTTCAGGAATATTCTCACTGGATTGTAAGTGCCAAGAGGACAAGAACTTTGTGAGTTTTGTTCATTGATTTATTGCTAGAGCCTGGGGCATTTCCAGGCACATAGGAGGAATCTAATAAGTATTTATTGAGTGCATAAGTAAACTTGAGGAGATAAGGTGTTGAAACTCTCCCAGGGCTTATTCAGGAGAGGTTATGCTGAGCTTCCAGCTAACAACTCTATCCCACAGCAGACCTGTGTGATCTTTACATCTGTAGTCTTGGGCATATTCCATAAGACTCCCACATTTTTGGCTAGGTTTCCCACCTATAGTATTTTGTGAGAGTCTCACTATGTACAAACACTGAAATAACTAAGCGCCAGCAATGACTACAGAAACAAGGGGAAACCTTATAATGAGTGCGGTGGAGTGATTCAGTGAAGATGATCAGATTAAGATTTAGAAGAACAAAGTTGTGGTCACTCCCCCATCACTTAACAAGGTGAGAAGCTCGCCAAGTCACGTCTTCACTCTAGGCCTCATTCAAAATCTGTGTGTGTGTATGTGTGTCCGTGTGTGTGTGTGTGTGTGTGTGTGTGTGTGTGTGTTACAGGTGTTCTAAAGAAACAGAATTTCTCATCTGAAAATCTCCATTCTGTGGCCGCACCCAAAGTGAGCTGACCCAAAAGTGAGCCATCTCCACTTTGGCCACTTCTCCAGATGCACAAGGAAGTGCTGAGAATGCTGTTGCACCTGCCTGTGGCCAGGGACAGAGAGCCATGTCTGCCCACTTGGAGACAGAGAGGGTCATTGCCTAATGTATTTCTTGCATTTCTTAAGGATGAGACTGGGTTCTTTTGGCTTCACTGGGTAATGAAAACTCTATGCACACATGCTAGAAGTTGAATGGTGGAGGATTCAAGGGAACAAACCAGATTTTATAAAAAGCAGGTAACAAAGCATCTTTACTCCTTTTCCCATAGACGTGAAAATCATTATCAAAAATACTACCCCAGATGAGAGTGATTATCTGTAAAGCTGCCTTTGCTATCTAGTCCCCAAGATAGCCCCAAGTGAACCAGGCTTCCAGTGTTCACGGCATTGAGTAATCCCCTCCTACACCAGCTCTAGGCTGGCCTTGTGTAACAATAAAATGCACCAGATGTGACACTGTGTGACTTCTGAAGCCAGGTCATAAGAAGCTTTAGAGCTCCTGGTTTAATCACTTGGAATGCTAGCTCTTGGAATGCACTCTCTTGGAACTCAGCCACCATGCTGTAAGAAGGCCCAGCCACATGCAGTGGACATGGATCATGGTTCATGGCCCCAGTTGATCACAGCCCCAGCTGAGCTCCCAACCAATCACCAGCATCAACTGCCAGCCCCGTGAGGAAGCAATCTTCGATGTCCAGCCAAGAGGAGTCTTCGATGACTCCAGCTTTGGCCACCATCGGAGTGCAACCACAGAAGAGAACCCAAGCGAGAACTGCCCAGCCCAGTCAATCCATCAGACCAAGAGATAATGATAAGCTATTTTAGGTCAGAAACTTTTGGGGTGGTTTGTTATGTCACTTGTTACATCTTATGGTTCAAAAACATAATCCTCATAACTTTAATGTTCAAGGGTTATCACTTTGCTTTCTTCTTTGGATTTGAGACAAGCAACCTTTTTTCTCCCTCAAAATGTTTCCCTTATTTGGTTCTAGTTGTGCCCTACTGAGTCCAAACATGAGGGAAATAACCGCCAACCACACATTCATATAACACACACAAAATAATGTCTTGCATTGTGGAAGAATTTGCTATTGTCATTGTTTTTTAACTTATTTTCTTTATATGTCTTTGAGTTCCTTTTGGAGTCATTGAATTCCCTTTTTGAGTGTTTTTTCCAAGATTACAGGCTCAAGCCATGGGTTTTAAAATAGCCATAATATATTAACTACCTATGACATTACAGCCACCATGCTAAATGCTTTAGACATATTAACTCAACAACAACTTTGCAATATAGGTATTTATTATCTCCTTTTTGCAGTTGAAAGAGCCATGGCTCAGAAGCATAAGGTGATTTGCAAATGCTGATACTAAGCACTCTGAGGCAAGATTTGAACCTAGGTCTCCCTTAAGCAGCATAAATGTGGCTGAGGAATATCTGAATTCATTCACATCCAGAAATCACATTGTAGTTGTTGAATTCTTTGGCTGGAGCTATACCTTGATCAACAGAACTGTGTAATCTAGAAAATCACTCTGAAGGAAGGACTTACATGTGAGTTTTGGGGATTGCAAAGTGTTGACATTTTCAGACTGCCTATGTATATTGCTGCAGATGTTGGTACAATTCTGCGTGGTCCAGTTTGCACTGATTATAAGACAGTCTGATAAAATCTTATGCCATCCCTCCAGAACATGAATACTGGAACCACTCATTCAAGGGGATCTGGAGAGCGACCCACAGTAGAGTGAGTCACAGAGACCCAAGAGGTTCAACAATCTGGAACTCAGAGGCTGCTGGAATGAACTGGAAGAGAAGAGCTATGTAGCAACCAGGACATTTAGGAAATGTCACTGTGAATCAATCCATCTGCACTGGAGGAAAAATGAAATACATAACAGAACATAATGCCTTCTTGGGGTGAGTGTGGGGGCTACACTTGTGTGTGCACGTTTGTGTGTATATGTGTGTGTTTGATGGGGTGGGGGCTGCTTCTTTTCTATGAGTCATTTCCAAGTAACTTCTACTCTCACTCAAAATGTAGCTCCCTTAAGCCAGTTTTCCTTGCTTTCTCTCATAGGTGAACCATCCTGGGGAAACTGAGATAACCCCAAAGTAGATTCCATGATGGTGTACTCTGGGGTGGGGTGGGCTGCTATGTTTTGTTCTTTCTCTGATTTATTCCTGTCTCTGCTCACATTTGCAGTCCCTTTCTCCCACTAGAACATTGGTCATTTAAAATATATTCATAGTAAGATGACAAACAGTTCCTCTTTAGAAATACAAATGTATGGCTCTCTGAGTCTTCATGTCCTCAACTATAAATGCTTATACCTCCCATCATAAGCAAGCTGGCCCTTGTCAACACACACACATACCCACACAATGTTGTACTAGGTGGTTCATAGGAGAGGATTTGAGGAGAAGACCAGGTTAACCTAAAGACAAGCATGTTGATGAAGCCAAGTCAGGAGCAAAGGGAGATCAGAACAGCTTGGCAGCAAACAGCATGGGCCCTGAGACCATATCAACAGAATTCAAATTGTGCCCCTGCTACTCACAAGCTATCGAACCTCAAACAAATGACTGAACTTCTCCAAGACCTCATTTCCCCACCTATAAAATGGGCATGTTAATCATACCACCCTTGAGGTTGTTGTGGGCATTAATTGAAATCATGCATTCAAAGAATTTCATCCAGTACTGATATACCATAAATGCTCAGTAAACATTAGCTGTAGTGTTTATTATAGAGTACACAGGGTAAAAAATATAATAGCAATTATATGTTAAATATTTGTAATAAACAAGGCCCTAGGTTAAGTATTCTAAGTACATCATCTCTTTTCATCTTTAGAGAAACTCCACAAGGCAAATTCTAGAATAACCCATTTGACAAGTGAGGAAACTGAGGCCCAGAGAGGTTAAGTCATGTCTCCAAGTCCCAACGCTGCCAAATGTCAGAGTCCAGTGTTGACTCCAGGCCTTGAGGTCCCAGCCAAGTCCTACCACCAACTTCTTTTCCTAAAACCTAGAATTAGATCACTTGTTGAACATCCGTTGACACTTTACTTTCCAGGGAATTTTCAAAACCCCAATCCCTCAGAAGCCCCAAAACCTTTAATATGGCCCTTTAAAGCACCAGGAACATTCACGGCAAAAGCCCAATAACTACACATGGAGTAGAAATTAACATATGCAGAGGACTTTTTCTTGTTCATACAAAAGCTTTTACCCATACTACCCAAGGTGTGAGAGTGAATATACTGCAGGAATGTACTTCCTACTACAGAAACCAGCAGGGCAAAGGAGGTGCTTTCAGTAGGGTATGTGTAACCCTTGCTGTGCTCTGAAGAAGAGGGTCAATTTCTTTGGTGGAAGTAGCAACACAAACCATTCCTCCAGCAATAAAATCCACAGCTCCCTTGACAGCAAAGCTAACCTCAGCCATACGGGCTTATCATGTATTTCCCAGGACCCAGGAGTCTTTGAAAGTTTCTTGAGTGGGCTTCTACCTTAGCATTTGCTTTCTGTCAGATAATACAGTGGTTATGTCTGAAGGGTTTCCCCGAGGAGTTCCAGTTCTTTTAGTGGTGGTAACATCAAGTAGTCTCCAGACATTGCAGGTGGGTGGTTGAAATGCTTGCTTTGGGAGGGGTGACCAGTCAGCTGGGGTCACAAAAGCCTTGTAATTAGAATCAGTGTGACTAATTTCCAGGTAGAATGAGAGGTTCTTGCAAATTGCTTTTATAGAAATTATACTCACTGGCATCCAACCTGCCCTGAATCACCCTATGCTCACAACAGAAACAGCTGGTGTCAGAGAACTCTACAAATATGGCAAATCATCACATGGGACTTTATCCATGGAGGCGAGAATCCTCTTGCATTGGAAGCTGGTATGCTGATGATGTCATGGTGGCTCAACTTTCCTGGTGTCTAAGAGGAGTGTCAGAGAGCAACCCTAACATGGATGTGTTGGGTGACCGTAGGTAAGGCTTTCCTTTTTCTGGTTCATCTTTCAGACAATAACAAAGCTGAGCTAAAGGGTCTCCAAAGCTCACCAGCTTCCACTTTGTATGACATAAAGTTATCTGAACATGAGTTCAACCATGAGGTGATAAGAGGTAGCAATTGAACATTAGCTGTTTCATCCAAAAGCCCTACGAAGTTGTCAGCATTAATATTCCCATATTACAGAAGCAGAAACGGAGGCCCAGAATAGTTAAATGCTTTGCCCAAGACCATGCACAGAGCGAGGATTTTTACCCAAGCAGCATAATCCCAAGGTCTATGCTCTTAACCATTCATAATGTTAATGAAAACACTAAGAAACCAATGATGCATACAAAGGGTTCCAGATCCTACTTTTCTGGATGTCTCCATTTTTATCCATAAGCAGTGTGTGTGTCAGTTCTCAGGCATCACCTGGAGGACACATATATAACACTTACCTAAGCCCTAGCATGTCAACCCTGGACAGGTCCTGACAGATTACAGATGCTGAGGTTTTTAACTCATCATCCTTGGGCGTGCATTAAAGGGTCTATGGGCCCTTTGAAAGTATGTGTAAATATGGGTGTGTGTACATAATTCTAAGAAGAGATTTCATAGTTTTTTGTTTTTGTTTTTGTTTTTGTTTTTTTTTCAGATTTTCAAAGGGGTCTGTGAAATTTTAGAGTCATCTTTTGACAGTTGGTAAAACTGAGACCTCAGTTGGAAAATGGACTTATCCCAGTATACACAAGGAGTGACAGAACTGGGTTCAGATCCAAGATCACCTGACCCCAGTCCCACTGCTCTTTGACTACATCACACTGAGCTAACTCATCCCTGCAACATGCACCAAGAATCTTCCAGGGTTAAATTGCAGGGTATAACATGCACAGCTCAGAGTGTTTGGGAATAGTTTGGAAAATCATCATGCTCCACATATATCATCGACTTTAACCTCAGACCTCTGTATCTTGTCATTTCTTTGAAGTTTGTATCATTGATAGTTACCACTGATCTGCCACTCTGTTCATCTTCTGTGAATGAAAACTTATCCCACAGCATTGCATTTAGACCTGGTCCAGTCTGCCTTTACCTGGCCTCACCCCAGGCTTCCACAGATGCTTAAGGTGTTTGGGCATTTGTCCCTCACTGCTTTGGTTGCAATAATCAGTTCAAAATAAAACTGACCACAGCTTAACCTACACAAAAAATGGGTTAATGAGTAAACATTCACAGAGGAATCAAACTGTCCCAATAAAATTCAGATCAATCAAATTTGAAACAGGAAAATTTGACCTAGTAGAAATAAAACTACAATGGAAAATTCACAATGGCAGGAGCTAAAATTTGACCCAAATAAATTACTGTCAATAAATTACAAGCTATCATTGTGAAATTTCACATGCAAAAGAATTACTCTCCATAAAATGATTTCAATAAAATAAAAAAGAAGATGGAAAAAGGTAGAAATTATTTAACTGCTCTGTATCGAACACTTATCTTGGAGTGAAATTGAGTAAGCATTAATTAAGAAAATACTTTCTTGAGAAAAATGTGGCTATTATTGGTGTTTTTTATGTTGTACTTACAAGCATGGAGTCAAAACACCCACAGCAATAAATCGTGGAGATCAAAATGGATGGCAGACTAAACATACGTTCAAAATGACAGCACCAATAAAGGGACGTTACAACTTCCTATACCTGTGCTCGGTAAGCGGTGGAGGCAATCATTTGCAGATGACGCTCGGACACGGAGGCAGACTGAGGCCATCCCTGTCTTCTATGCTCACCTAAACAGCCAAGCACCTAGCCCAGATTACATTCCTCTAAGCATGTCTCAGTCCCACAAGTTCAACAAAGAAGTGTTAATTATCTTCTTCGCCCAAACAAGTACTCTTCTGAAACGCCTGTCAACACAATAACAATAATAGCCAACACTTATATAACATGGGCCAGGCACTTTACATATATTAACACATTTGATTCACACCACAATCCCATGAGATAAGTACTATTATCATCTCCGTTTTGCCAGTGACAAACATGAAGCACCAAGAGCTTAACAACTTGCCTAAGGGCACACATTTGATAAGCAGTGGAGTTGTTCAGTGGTGCCACCATGCATCCTAGACAGGAAGTTCAGGTGAACAAGAGCTAGCTAGCTGAAGTTCTATAAAATTGATCAGAATTTCAGCTAAGGTTTTATGCAATACTTGCAATATAGATAAGGTTTGGATTAGTGTCCTGACGCTGCCACTCTCTATCTACAGGACTTTGAGTAGGAATTAATCTCTTAACGTCTTTGAACTCATTTCTTCACATGTGTTATATGAATAATTATACAATGCAACTATTTCTTGTAGGTCAGAGAAATTAAGAGAAGTCAATTATATAATAGGAGTAACCTTTAGAACAGTGTTTGAGGTATAAGTGCTCAAATCCAAACTGTGATGATAAGAATAATAGGTAAGTTCATCAGAGGATTCTGACTTGCCTTGGAGCCCATATGACTCATGAAGTCAGGGACTGTCATGATCTTGCTCACTGGACTGTGAGTTTCGCGCATAAGAGGTGTTCAATATTAGTTGGTTGGTTGCTTGCTTGCTTGCTTTGTTGGGTAGGTGGGTGGTTGGGTGGTGAGATGGTTGGTTAATTAATTGGCTGGTTGGATAAATGAATGGATGGACAGAAGGATGGCTGGCTGGCTGGCTGGCTGGCTGGCTGGATGGATGGATGGATGGATGGATGGATGGATGGATGAATGGGTGGGTGAGTAGATATATGAGATGGGTGACCATCTGACTCCTCTGTCTCAAAAGAGCTAAACTCAGAATTTTCCTCCTAGTGCTTTGCACACATGCATCCAATCTTCCCCAGACAGACTAACAGATATTCAAGGGCAAGGATGAGCTTTTCATCCTGCATCCCACCATGCCCTGAACTTATGATTTCCCAAGGAAAGAGACTTGAGATTCTGAAACAATACTCTGAACCACTCAGACCTCAAAATACCTTAAAGTTGCCACCTATCCCCTGGCACTTTATTCCATAGAAGATTCATCACTGAAGGGATGTCCTGTGGTGTTTGGTGCAATAATGCTTATATAAGCCAAGGTCCCTGCCCCTTGGCTGTCATCAAGATTTTCTGTCATCCCTCCTCTTTAAGACAAAGGGAAACCTTCAAATGTTCAAAAGAGAAATATTTATCTTGAAGATCCTAAATTCCGAAAGGGAAAACGTGTAACCATAGTTACATAATTATGTAAAACACTGATTTTTCAGGTTAGACAAAACTGGTTTTGAATCTCTGCAAACATTTGAAGTACTTTAAACCTTGATTCCTTCATCTGAAAAGGGAAGATAATGTCACCTCCTTTGGAGGATCATTTGGAGGATCAAATCCTATACTTCAGGTAAATTACTTAGCACAATGACTATCACAGCTTCAGTAAAAGAGCATGATTATCCTTGGTCGAACTACTACCTTTTTGAAAATTAAGAAAAGATATACCACATCTATATCAACTTATTCTAAACAAATGAAAATTATGCTTATTATTGTCAATAAACTTTTGCTGAATACCTGCTATGTATGTGAGCAGCCCTATCACCTGATTTCTCCATCACTCATGAGCAATAAGTAGTTATAATATAGTTTTAAGACTTTCTTCTTCTTATAAGTGACAAGAGGTCAAAATCTGAGCCCAATATTTCATCCCCTTATTTTTTTATTCACTCATTTAACAAATCTTTAAAGGCTGGGCATGGTGGCTCACGCCTGTAATCCCAGCACTTTGGGAGGCCAAGGCAGGCGGATCACAAGGTCAAGAGATTGAGACCATCCTGGCCAACATGGTAAAACCCCACCTCTACTTAAAAAAAAAAAAATACAAAAATTAGCTGGGCGTGGTGGTGTGTGCCTGCAGTCCCAGCTACTCGGGAGGCTGAGGCAGGAGAATTGCTTGAACCCAGGAGGCAGAGGTTGCAGTGGGCCGAGATTGCACCACTGCACTCTAGCCTGGCGCCTGGTGACAGAGCAAGACTCTGTCTCAAAAAATAAAAAATCTTTATTGAGAGCCTGCCATGCATCAGACACTCGGATGCACTCTGGAAATACAGAGCTGAGTGACCCAAACAAGATTCCTGCTTTCATGGAACTTCCAATCTAGGTGGTACACATGGAATATTTCCCCCCCAAAAAAAACTTACAATAAAGTATACTTTTAAACTGTGATAAGTATTTTGAAGGAAAAGTGCAGGGACCAACGAGCACAAGCAAAAGAGAAATGTTAAGGACATGAGGAAAAAGAAAACAGAGACAAAATGGCCTGGTGCCGTGGCTCACACCTGTTATCCCAGCACTTTGGGAGGCTTAGGTGGATGGATCATTTGAGCCCAGGAGTTTGCAACTAGCATGGGCAACATGGTGAAAACCCATCTCTACAAAAACTACCAAAAAAAAAAAATTAGCTGGATGTGGTGGTGCATGCCTGTAGTCCCAGCTGCTTGGAGGCTGAAGTGGGAGGATCACCTGAGCACCTGAGCACCTGAGCCTAGGAGGTCGAGATTGCAGTGAGCTATGCACTCCAGCCTGGGCAACAGAGTGATACCTTGCCAAAAAGAGAGAGAGAGAGAGAGAAACAGACAGATGGACTTCACACAACTTGGAAAGAAAGAAAAGAATGCCACAGGACTTGGAAGAGGATCCGAATATCAGTTTATGTAAGCTCTTAGGCCCTTAAAACAACCAGAAATGAAAATCCAAGTAATCTTTCTGTTTGCTATCCTTTCCCTCCACCCATTAGAGCCCCAAAGCTATGTGTTCTAGGACAGACAGAAGTTAGTTTTGTTTTGTTTTATGAACAAGTAGTTTTTGGTCACCATGATTACCATGCAGCTGTTATTTCAGCCTAGCCCCTGGCAGCTCCCCTGAGGAGGAAAGCAGATGTAGCCATTTTCACTGCTTGCTGTCTGGTACAACATTCAAAGAATCAGGGGCATTCCTATGAATGTCTCTATGAATTAGATGTCCGATATATCCCCAAATGAACAAACATCAGAAGTTCTCTACGTGGGAGAAAGTTCAATAACAAAAAAAGTCACCTTCACACTTATTTGGCCCATACAAGGAAGATAAAGAAGTTGAGAGTCATACAGATCATGTTTAAATATGGTCTGCTAGATTTGAAAGGTTAAATAAAATAAAAGACAGAAATGAGGCATCTATTTTCAAAATCCTTTTCATAGATAATGGTAAAACGTGCAACCCTACATTTAAAACACACACACACACACACATACACACACACACACACACACACACAGAGTAAAATGGAAGGTTATGGAAGTAGATAATTAAGCATTCCTAAATACTGAGTAAAAAAGTGTTACTACCAATATTTATGCATAAGAAGTAAAGCATCTCTACATGAACATGGGCTCTTCCCAGGCTACTTGTTTCTCAACACATATTTGGAGAAGGACATCCCTAACAACTTTTTCCATGGTGTCAAAAATAGGTTATTCTCTCATGTTCATGATCTTCTGTCTGCTACCACCATTCAAGCTACAGGTACCATGATGAGTGAGACCCACAAAACTCTACCTGGCTACTTCCCATCCTCAGATGTCCATAATCATCTATTATTGGCTCTGAAGTCTCTTACAATAAGGTTCCTTCATTCATTTCACTCCCCACCTGGAATAGTCCTCAAAACATAACTTATAGATCTTATAATTTGACAATCACTAATATAGGTCCAAGCTTTCTTTTCCTCCTTCTATTTTCCATTTGGGAAATACAGTCTATTTTTATTTCTAGGCTAAGTTACCTGACTGTGGTCAACAATAACATCAGTGTTTTTTGGTTTTTTTTTGTTTTTTTTTTTTTTCAAGACCTCCTGGAAAGTCAGTTATCTCCAATCCTGTTCTAAGTAACCAATTTTGATGGATTCAATTGCAACAGAATCATTGTATTGATTTCAGCCCAGTATTTCAGGCTGCTGAAACGAATTTTAATCTAGTTCCTTTTCATAATCATATTAGTGATAGCATTTC